AATGGGGGTTGGGGTCCCTTCATCCCGCGCTGACCCTGCCGCTCCTTCCTCCCCAGGGCAGGATCCTCGCACTCCTCGCCCGCTCCAGCCTGGGGTCCGTCCCCCCCCACGGGAGACAGAACTGCCTGGGCTTCTCCAACGTGAGTTCCCTCGGGAGCCGACGGCTCCGGCGTGGGTCCCTCCCGGCCATGGGATGCAATCCCTTGGGAGCAGACGGCTCCAGCATGGGTCCCTTGGGAGCAGATGGCTCCGGCGTGGGTCCCATCCTTCCCACGTGGATCCCTCACTCCCATGGGATGCATTCCTTGGAAGCAGATGGCTCTGGCGTGGGTCCCATCCTTCCCACATGGATCCCTCCCATGGGGCTCAATCCCTTGGGAGCCGACGGCTCCAGCATGAGTCCCTCCCTCCCATGTGGGTCCATCCCTCCCACGGGGCTCAGTCCCTTGGGAGCAGACGGCTCCAGCATGGCTCCCATCCTTCCCACATGGATCCCTCCCTCCCACGGGGCACAATCCCTGGGGAGCAGACAGCTCCGGCGTGGGTCCCTCCCTCCCATGTGGGTCCATCCCGGCCACGGGGCACAGTCCCTCGGGAGTGGATGGCTCTGGCATGGGTTGATCCTTCCCATGGGATGCAGCCCCTCAGGAGTGGATGGATCCAGCGTGGGTCCATCCTCCCATGTGGGTCCCTCCCTCCCATGGGGCTCAATCCCTTGGGAGCAGACGGCTCCGGCATGGGTCCATCCCTCCCATGGGATTCATTCCCTCTGGATCAGATGGCTCCAGCGTGGGTCCCTCCCGGTCACGGGACGCAGCCCCTCGGGACCATATGGCCCCGACGTGGGTCCCTCGGGAGCTGACAGCTCTGGCGTGGGCCCCTCCCTCCGGTGGCCCCCCGCCCGCCGCCCGCGGGGCTGCTCCTGGTGGCGCCGGCAGCCCCGCTAAACCTCGTCATTAAACGAGTGACGAGACCAAAAGGGTAATTAAGCACCTGCTCCTTCAAACGAGGCGTCGGAGCTGGACCCCGGCATCCAGACAGGAACCGGGAAAACCTCCCCAAAGCCGAAGAAACCGGGGGGAAACGCTGGGAAAAGCCCCCGCGCCACCAGGGATTTTGTGTTTCCCCCCACGGGGTGGGGGGGTGGGGAAATATTGGCCCCTTTTTCCCGGAAAAGGCGTTTCCCTCCGCGCCGTGTCCCTGGGCAGGGCCGGGTTCTCCGCGGCCGCGAGGCTCTGACGCCGTTCCCTCGCCTCCCGCCAGGCTCCGCCAAGCCCTCGGAGGGGGCCCCCGGC